GTCCTCAGCAGAAGTGCGTCCGAATGGCACCCCTGGGGGGGTATCCCCGAGCTCACCCCCCTTTTCTGAGCGGCCCAACTGTTCGGGCGGAACTCGGGGATTGGGGGCGAGGAGTCGCCCGCGATCACGACCGCCACCAACATCAGAGACACCTCCTCTGTCCGTCTTGCCAACCTCGTGCAACTATATGGCAGGCTCCCAGGCGTGGCCCACCGTTCTCCGCCCAGCACGCCGGGGCCATCCCCCATTCCTCGCTGCTGCCCTTCGCGGGCGTGGCGGCGGGGCCTCGGGCCGTGATCTGGTGTCGGCCTTTTTTTTTCGTGGAGCACAGCCCAAACCACGCGCCATCACCTCTCAGCTGGCGCAGCTGAAGGACTCGCTCTGCCACTACGAAGAGCTTTCATCCCCCCCACACACGACAGCGCGACGCAAGCCCGATGCCCCAGGCTGCCTCTCGAAGCGGTGCCCTGGAGGCTTCGCGAACACAGGAGGGAAGAGCAAAGGGAAGGAGGGCACGGGCCAGGAGGCGAGACCCGGGCGCTGTGGGTGGGAATCCCCTATGGCCCAAATCTGCTGTGAGATAAGTCGTTGAATTGCTATCCCCTCCACCCTTCCTCTCCTCGCTCCCTTTCCGTCCTCTGCCCTGCTCGACGGATGCCTCGTGGTCGCTCTTTGTGCACCCGCCCTCGTGCTCGGGGGATTGTGCTGCAGTGCACTCTGCACATAGGCGTCGAATATGCCCGATGATCTGCATGTAATCTCTCTCTCTCTCTCTCTTTGTCCATCCGTCTTCCTTCGTCCCTGCTCATCTCTATTAAGTTGCGCCAGCGATTTGCAGAGCCCCATCCATGACAGCCGCTGCTCTGCTCATTTAACCTGACCACTTTGAACAGCCAGCTCATTTCGGCGACTCATCCTTGACCTGGTACCTACTTGTGAGGCTGCTTGCGTGGGAAAGTTGAGGGGAGGGTGAGGAGGGCAGGGCAACCAAGGAGGAGGTGGAGGAAACTCTGGTCAGACCGCCTAGGGGGCCTGACAGAAAAAGCAGCAGGTCTAAGTCAAATATCGCGCAAGTGATCCACAATCAATCCGACAGGACTGATGAAGACACCCATATATGATGTGGAATTGCGTTGAGAAGAATGCTGGCAGTCTTTGAGACGTAAACAGGCATCAGATGACATATCCACTTATTCTGCGGATTGACATTGGGCGCATGCCCCTGTGGCACGCGTGTTGAAGCATCCTGCCATGGAAGAGGAACAACTGTCGAACAGACGGGCCGATGGAACGGAAGCGCGAACAGGCTATCCGACACATCGCTCCCTCGATGTCACTTCCAGGCAACGCGGATCTACCACCCCTGTGCCACGCCCGGCATGTATACTGAAAAAATAGGCACGCTGCGCAAACAGCAAATGTTCTCCGAAACCGCCAGCGGCCGCTGTCGGGCAGGCGGCTGTCGTTTCAAATGGACGTCCGCGGCGGCGCCGACAACTAATCCTGTTCAACATGGACAAGGAGTGCGATTGGCCTTCGTGCCCATTGTTTCCGTACCCGTGTCGGTCCCCCGATCGCTCCCCCCAAGACTACTTGATCGAAACGCCGGCACGTGTGAACATCCGACATGGCGTGCCTCCCCCTCGTCCCTCCCTCCCCCACCCCCGCCCCGAGCAGATGTCCCCGCTGTGGGCCTGCAACACCATCCGCTCCTTGCTACGGAGGGTACAGTGCAGCATGGTGGCGAAGCCCATGATGGAGATCCCGATGCCTCCCGGGCACTTCGCAAAGGGATCGAGAACGATTACCCAAACCAAGGCAGGAAGCAGAAACGTCGCTGTCGATCTTGGTCATCGCCCAGATTGGAAATTCTCTATCCATGTACCATCGAATCAACGACAGGTGGCATCGACCGTGACCAAGATCGGCGTTGACATCCCCTCTCCGTCGGCAGAGAACAGGGAACAGAGGGCCGAGAGCGAGGGAAGCAACGGATGGGTGCCAGTAGTGCCACTGGGGTGCGTGCGCCTCCTCCTCCTCAGCCTCCTCCACTTCTTCCTCCCCACTGTGCTCCATGTTGGGTGCGTCTCCTTCTCCTCCAATTCCTCCTCTTCCTTTTCCTCCTCCTTTTCCTCCTCCTCCTCCTCCTCCTCCTCCAGCGGTCCCTCCTCGTCCACCACCACCACCACCTCCTCCTCCTCCTTCTCATCCTACCCCTCCTCCTCCTTCTCCTACTCCTCGTCCTCCTTGTCCTCCTCATCCTCCTCCTCCAGCAACCCAGGGCAGCAAATCGTGTCGGCCACGCTCGATACTGGGTGAAACGTTTTCTTCCCGCGCAGCGAATGGCCGGAATATGTTGAATGCCTAAAATGATCCACACTCCGGCTGCCAAGAGAATCTGGTAAATGAATCCTCTGGCGTGGTCCCCAGGGCTTCGGACGGCGCCAACGAAGTCCGCACAGAACGGCTGAGGCGGCACCTGTGGATTACCCTACAGGGTCAACGCCAAAACAGCTAGGTGGACAGAGGCATTGCCGGGTGGACGCCGGCGCGTCGCACAAAGCGCGGGATGTGGGAGAAGGAGGAAAGAAGAAGAGACGGAGAGCAACGGGAAGAAGAGGGGCGACGGCGCAGTGCGAATGTCCCCACGCAGCCCACACGGCCGCCAAGAGGATTCAAAACAAACACACAGCGGCAAGCCAGGTGGGAAGAGGGAGGAAGGAAGCCAACGAAACGAACGAGAGCGAAAGGAAGAGAGCGAGAACGAAAACAAGGAGGACATAGATACACCCAAATACTGAAAAGTATACTTCTAAGGCAGCGCCTGCCGACGGACGCTGGAAGCTCGCTGAGTAACAAGAACCCGTCCGGCGGGCACGCCCGCAACATGCACTCCGCGCACATCGAACGATTGAAAACAACAAAAGCCTGCGGGGAGGAGGACTCGAGGACACGAGGCAGCGCGCTGCAGTCAGCCAGGCTAACCAGAGGCGGCAGGGGAGGCACATACCTCCGCAGACCTCACCCGAGGTCAGCGACGACGAAGGACACCGGCGTAGTCGCTGGCGTTGATGCTGGCGTCGGTACTGGTGTCGGTGCTGCGCCAGCGTAGGTGCTGATGCTGGTGATGACCTCGGTGCTGATGTGAGCGGTAGTGCTACTGCTGGCGCAGATGCCGATATTCGCGTTGGCGTCAGTGTTGGCGCCGTCGCAGGTGCAGACGCTGGCGTTGGTGCCACTGCAATCGCTCGCGCACATGCTGGCGTCGGGGCTGGTGTAGGCGTCAGCGATCATGCTGGAGTCGGTGATGACAGCGGTGCTGGTGTAGCCGTTGGCGCTGGTGCCAGCGCAGGCGTGGGCGTTCCTGCTGGCGTCAGTGCAGGCTTTATCTGTGGCTCCATTGTCGCTGTCCGCGCAATCACCTCCGTCTACACAACACATGCCCGATGGTTTCAAATCTGTATCGCCCCACGGACCGTCTAGCGTTGAGCATAACGAGGTTGTGGTGCAGCTTGACGGTGTGGTCTACCGTGTATCGTCCCACGGACCGTGTGGTGCAGCTTCATGGCGCCTGGCGTTTTCTCGCCGACGTCGAGAGATTGCAGGGGGCCCTGCGCGACCCTCCGCGCGAGCACTCCCGCTTCGCATGGAACAGCTGGTACAATCGCAGTTTCGTCTTGACCCTGGCGCAGGCCGAGAGCCAGCTCCTGCAGCACCACGCCATCGGGGAAGGACTGCGGCGATCGCGCCCGGCAGGCGACCGACCCATCTCGCTCAGGACAAGGCGCGGCGGAAAGAAAGCCGGCGCACGGTGTACGCATTCTTGGCTGCTCGCCACGCTCCGGAGCCCGCAGCGCGGATCCGAGGGAAGCTCCAGAGGTGGGCCTTGATGGACAGGCGCCAGCACGCAGTCATCTTTGGCAGCGTGCAAGAACGCACGCCTGCTTGGCAAGGCCGCCGCGCGTGCCAACTACTACAAGCCGTGGGCGGCCTGGCGCCGCCGCGGGTCCAGTCCGCAGTATTTTCTACGCTCTTCAATCGATTGACCACAGCTCGGCGCTTTCAGGGTCATGCGCAGTGTCTCTTGGGATGTGGTGATGGCACCGAGGACAGCATCGAGCACTATTGCCGCTGCAGAGCAGTCCGTGCAGTGTTCCAACGCAAGCTGCGCCTGGACCCGAACATCTTTTGCAACCTCCACAGTTTTTTTGTTGGTCAACCCGCGCACCCGCTCCAAGGAAGAGCTGTCCACTCTTGCCCTTGCCATTTACGGGGGTGTACACTGTCACCAACACGACGCGTCACCGTGGGCACTGCAGCTTCGAGGTGGCGGTGGACGCAATAACCCAAGCAGTGCGGGAGGGCGCCAAGGGGCACCGAACGGCTTTGCGGACTTGGCGTTCGAGATGGTCGTTTTCCTCCTCGACAGCGGAATCGGCATTACCTCCGCCACCTTTGACGTCTTTCCCCCGGAGTGTCGCAGCACTGCGGCGCGGGTGTTTGGAGGAAGGACAAGAGCACAGATCGACGAGGCGGCGCTCTCTTTGAGCCGCCAGGCGCGCGGGAGCTGTCCACCGCACCCGGCGCCAGGCCCAAGAAGGACGCCAACGACATCGACACCATGAGACCGCCGACTGCAGCACCGACCAGCTCGCTGATTCCCGCACCGAGGGGCTCGCCGACTCCCTCGCCGACCAGGTCGCGGACTCCCGCACCGACCAGCTCACCGACTCCCGCACGGACTAGCTCGCAGACACCCGCGCCGACCAGATCGCCGACTCCCGCGCCGTCCAGCTCGCCGGCCCCGGAGGGGGCGATGCGCCGGCGTCCACCTGGCTGGCGTGCTCCACCGACTCACGCCGACCAGATCGCCGACTCCAGCACCAACGAGCTCGCCGATTACCACACCGAGGGGCTCGCCGACTCCCTGGCCGTTGGCGGACTCCCTCACCGACCAGCTCACCGATTCCCGCACGGACCAGCTCGCAGACACCCGCGCCGACCAGATCGCCGACTCCCGCGCCGTCCAGCCCGCTGGACCCAGAGGGGGCGATACGCCGGCGTCCACCTGGCTGGCGTGCTCCCCGACTCTCACGCCGATCAGGTCGCCGACTCCAGCACCGACCACCTCGCCGATTCCCGCACCGTGGGGCTCGCCGATTCCCTCGACGATCCGGTCGCGGACTCCCGCACCGACCACGTCATCGACTCCCGCACTGACCAGCTTGCAGACACCCGCGCCGACCAAATCGCCAACTCCCGCGCCGTCCAGCTCGCCGGCCCCGGAGGGGGCAACACGCCGGCGTCCACCCGGCTGGCGTGCTCCACCGACTCACGCCGATCAGGTCGCCGACTTCAGCACCGACCATCTCGCCGAGTCCTGCACCGAGGGGCTCACCGATTCCCTCGCCGACCAGGTCGTGGACTCCCGCACCGACCAGCTCACCGACTCCCGCACGGACCAGCTGGCAGACACCCGCACCGACCAGATCGACTCCCGCGCCGTCCAGCTCGCCGATCCCCGCGAACACCAGCTGGTCTACTCCCTCGCCGACCCGCTCACCGACTCCACTACTGGCCAGCTCGCCGACTCCCGCGCCGGCCAGATCGCCAACTCCCGAACGGACCAGCTCTCAAAAGCGCTATCCAGGTCCGATGGCCGTGCCGACCAGCTCGCCAGCTCCTTCGCCGACCAGGTCACCGACTCCCTCATCGCTCAGCTCACCGACTCCCGCACGGGCCAACTCGACGACTCCAGCGTCGACCAGATCACCAATTCTCATGCCGACCAGGTCGCCGTTTCCAGAGACGTGAAGGGAATGATCTAATTTTCGCACTGCGTCGGACAGGTGCTGCGCTTGCAGACATGAACAGACGGCTCGCGCAGACAGCGATCATGCAGCCGCAGATGAGACTTTCATAATTGCGACAACCATGCATCCGAACCCCAGGTGTTTTGCGCAGGCACTGACCAAGGAGCCACAGATATACGCAACACTGGTTACGTCACTTTGCTGGTGTCAGTTTGTTGGTGTCACTTTGTTGGTGTCAGCCTGTTCGCGAAGGCTTTGTGTCACTTTGTTGGTCGCTCTGCTGGGTCCCGGCTGCGACCGCATAGATTGCTACCGTGATGTCTTGATCCTGGTGTGAGTTAGTGTCTCTGACAGGCAGTGCATGTGCCTCTCGGTATGTGAACTCTTGCCTCAGAATACTGGGTGCGTCGGCTATGCGCCCGTTCAATAATAACAGTAGAAGTAGTAGTTGTAGTACTAGTAGGTAGTAGTAGGTAGTAGCAGTCGTAGTCGTAGCCGTAGTCGTAGCCGTAGTCGTAGTCGTAATCGTAGCAGTAGCACTCGTAGTAGTGATAATAATGGTACTAGCAGAAGCAAAAGTAGTAGAATAAGTAGTTGTAGTCGTGGTCGTAGTAGTAGTAGTAGTAGTAGTAGTAGTAGTAGTAGTAGTAGTAGTAGTAGTAGTAGTAGTAGTAGTAGTAGTAGTAGTAGTAGTAGTAGTAGTAGTAGTAGTAGTAGTAGTAGTAGTAGTAGTAGTAGTAGTAGTAGTAGTAGTAGTAGTAGTAGTAGTAGTAGTAGTAGTAGTAGTAGTAGTAGTAGTAGTAGTAGTAGTAGTAGTAGTAGTAGTAGTAGTAGTAGTAGTAGTAGTAGTAGTAGTAGTAGTAGTAGTAGTAGTAGTGGTAGTAGTAGTAGTAGTGGTAGTAAAAGTAGCAGTAATGGTCGGATGAATTGGAAATAGTACTCGTAGTAATAATATCACGAGTCGTGATCATAGAAGCCGTAGTAGCAGTAGTACTGGCAATACAAATAGTAATAGTAATAGTCGTAGTCGTAGTCGTTATCGTAGCCGTAGCAGTAGTAGTAGTAGTAATAATAGTAGTAGAAATATTAATAGTAGCCGTAGTAGTAGAAGTAGTAGTAGTTGTAGTAGTAGTTGTAGCAGTAGTCATAATACTAGTAGTCGTAGCCGTAGTCGTAGTAGTAATAATAATACCAGTAGTCGTGGTAGTAGTAGTAGTAGTAGTAGTACTAGTAGTAGTAGTAGTAGTAGTAGTAGTAGTAGTAGTAGTAGTAGTAGTAGTAGTAGTAGTAGTAGTGGTCGTAGTAGTAGTTAGTAGGAGTAGTAGTAGTAGTAGTAGTAGTGGTAGTAGTAGTAGTAGTAGTAGTAGTAGTAGTCGTAGTAGTAGTAGTAGTAGTAGTAGTAGTAGTAGTAGTAGTAGTAGTAGTAGTAGTAGTAGTAGTAGTAGTAGTAGTAGTAGTAGTAGTAGTAGTAGTAGTAGTAGTAGTAGTAGTAGTAGTAGTAGTAGTAGTAGTAGTAGTAGTAGTAGTAGTAGTAGTAGTAGTAGTAGTAGTAGTAGTAGTAGTAGTAGTAGTAGTAGTAGTAGTAGTAGTAGTAGTAGTAGTAGCAGTAGCAGTAGCAGTAGTAATAATAGTAATAGTAGTAGCAGCAGTAGTAGTAGCAGTCGAAATCCGCCGATCCGGCGTGTGGGTTTAAGGGGGAGGGGGTGGCTCTACCGGGGTAGGGGGAGGGAGGGGGGGGGATTCCGTTGGCGTGGGTTCCGGTGGCGTTCGGAAGGTGTCCGGTCCCGCGTTCCGCCTGCGGAGACATGGTGGACAAGAGGAATTGGGGGAAAAGGGGGGAGTCCGGTGGCGTGGGTTCCGATGGCGCGGGGGGGGGGAAGCGGAGGGCTGTGGCGTGTGAGTTTGAAGGAGCCTCAGCCACAGCCTCGAGGCTGAACTTCAGCCTTTGGGGGGGTTGCCAGGGTGGCTCTGCCAGGTAAGGAGGGGAGGGGGGGGGTGCGCGCGTGCGCGGGGAAATGTTTGTCCGTGTACGCGAGAAAGGGGTCGAGGAAAGAGGGGAAGAGAAATGAAACGGGACAAGAGCAGAAAAATAGGAACAGATGGGGGGGAAGACGAAGGTGGCGGTGAAATGCGTGTCTGTTGTGTGGTGCGTGTGTGTGTGTGTGTTTGTGCGGTGTGCGTGGTGTGTGTATGTGTGTGTGTTGCCGGCGTGTGCTTGTGTATGTGCCTACGAAGGTGGCGCGCGTGTGTGAACGTGGTGTGTGTGTGTCTCTGTGTGTAGAGTGTGTGTGTGCGTGTGCGTGTGTGCACGCGTGTGCGCGTAATGTCTACGAGCGTGTGCGTGAGTGTCTGTCAGCGAAGTGTCGCCACCCAGTCCAGGGGGGCACCCCAAGCGACCAGGATCGGCGGCACTGGCCGAAGGACACTACAATAGTAGTAGTAGTAGTAGTAGTAGTAGTAGTAGTAGTAGTAGTAGTAGTAGTAGTAGTAGTAGTAGTAGTAGTAGTAGTAGTAGTAGTAGTAGTAGTAGTAGTAGTAGTAGTAGTAGTAGTAGTAGTAGTAGTAGTAGTAGTAGTAGTAGTAGTAGTAGTAGTAGTAGTAGTAGTAGTAGTAGTAGTAGTAGTAGTAGTAGTAGTAGTAGTAGTAGCCAGTATAGTACTAGTAGTAGTAGTAGTAGTATAGTAGTAGTAGTAGTAGTAGTAGTAGTAGTAGTAGAAGTAGTAGTAGTAGTAGTAGTAGTAGTAGTAGTAGTAGTAGTAGTAGTAGTAGTAGTAGTAGTAGTAGTAGTAGTAGTAGTACTAGTACTAGTACTAGTTCTAGTACTAGTAGTAGTAGTATAGTAGTGGTAGTAGTAGTAGTAGTAGTAGTAGTAGTAGTAGTAGTAGTAGTAGTAGTAGTAGTAGTAGTAGTAGTAGTAGTAGTAGTAGTAGTAGTAGTAGTAGTAGTAGTAGTAGTAGTAGTAGTAGTAGTAGTAGTAGTAGTAGTGGAAGTAGTAGTAGTATGTATGTATTGATAACATCAGCAATCCGAGTTTTAATAGTAAGAGTAGTAGTAGTCGTAGAAGTAGTCGTAGTAGTGTAGTAGTAATAGGAGTAGTAGCCGCAGTAGTAGTAGCAGTAGCAGCAGCAGCAGTCGTTGTAGTAGTATTAGTAGCAGCAGCAGTAGCAGCATCATGATGTAGGACGTATATTGCGCTTCTCAACATAAGAAGATCGCAACTTCGATTCAAACTTTCCCTGGCGATAATGAAGATTTTCCTCGCTGCCCCTTTCCCCGACTAACTCTGTCTAGACCCGGGATAATGGTATGCTTTTGTATCCAAGGCATGCGGATAGCTTTTCACCCAGATCCGCTTTTCACGGTCACGGGGACCGATAACGGCTCCTGGGGGACGAAAGAAGCAAAAATCTGAGCCGAGCCAAGCACCTCGACCCTGCCCCCCCTTCCTGTTGGCCGGAACGAGTGCTGGGCCACCCCAGACCCCCCGCCGGCTCCAACTGGAGACAAAAGATTTGATCCATGCCCTGCCCCCCCTGGGGCCCAGAGAGTGTGGATCGAGCGTCGGCCGCAGAGGCGAACGCACAACGCGGTCTGGGCGGCAGGCTGGAGCGCGGCATCGCAGACCGCACCGCGGCACGCGCGCGCAAGAGAGGCGGCCGCCCCCGCCTCCTACGACCTGGGGGCGTGCTCCAGAGGGAGGGTGCAGCCAAGCCTTGAAGGCCGCAGCACACCCTCTGCGACAACTCATGGGAGTCTCCAATACGTGCCATCTTGTGGGCTCTTGCGCATCGACGTCAATCGGCACTAGTCGACGCTAAATCGACGCTAATCGAGGATAGCCGACGCTAATCGACGCTAAATCTGCGCTTGTCATCGATTACCAGACGCCAGTGCACGCCCAGTGCACTCACACAAGGCTCCCACGATCTGCTCGAGACAGCACACCCCCGACGCAAAGTACAGTCAAAATCCGCAGCAAGGATACAAGGCAAGGAGGCAAGACACTTTGGAGTCCCACTCACCACATTTAGAACTCGGTGGACGCCAACATTGGCTCAGGATGGGCCAGCGAAACAGGGATGCAAGGGCGGCCATTACTACATCGCATCATTACTATGGATTTTGACTGTACGATTCCATGTGCCACGTGCCCTGAATCTGGGCCGAAACGTGCAGCGTGGCCCAGGCTTCCAGGGAGCTCTGAGGCCTGTGCCCACGGCTGCGCCCGACTGGCCAAACACCCCCAGGGCGCAGAACGAGATCCCCACAGAAGGTTCCGCTTGGCTCGGGGGAAGGAATTGACGCACACCTGGCAGCAAGGCTTAGCAATATGAATGTCGCTTGACAAATCCCGCCATGGAGACAGGATTTCCTCTCGAAGCTCCACCGCGAAATAGGGGCGCTGATGCTGCTACATGTCTCCCTTTCGCCGCACGCCTGTCCGCATCCCTGGTGCGTACATGTGAGCGCACTTGAACGTTACATCACGTGCACAATGGCACATGCAATAATATGCACGCAGCTGCTTAGCAATACGTACCCCCAGGTGTCATGCGTGAATGTGTATATGTGTCTGGGTAGACGCCAGCATCATGGACGTCGCCTGGCGTCGTACGCCAGTCATGCTTGCGCCACCAAAGGGCAACGATGGGAGGGCGACTTCTTGATCTGGGTGCTCTATGACGACATGTCAAAGCTTCCCGCTTGCGTGCGCTGATCTCTTAACGATCCCCAGGCGGCCTATGAACGCTTTGGCCGCCTTCGTGGACGACATCAGCGGCTGCCTGTCCAGCACCATCACGCGCCCGCTCTGCCCCAGCACGCACGCGCTGGTCCGCACGGGCGTAGACATGAGGAACTTGGCGCGGGCAACTGAAGCAGCACGAGCGCGATGGCCCTATCCAGCCCGCCCGTCAGCCCAGCTACAACACCGAAGAGCCTGAGGCTTTGCAATCGTATCATCCCTCCTGGTGAGCCAGACTTAGTTTTCGAAAAGGCTCGTGTTGGCTCTTCTCTGACCCCCATGGAGCAGCACCCAGCGTTGAGCAAACCATCGCGGAACTGCATGCTTGAATACCCCACTCCCAACGATGCCCAATTGAGGTATACCAGAATGAAGTCGACTTCGTCACCTCCACTCATGCTGCGAAAGACATGCCATACAGCTGGCTCCTCCGACTCCGAATAGATCAAACATCGCATCCCCTGTAGACCAGCGAACCAGGTGCACCATGCATGTTGCATGTTTCGTGTCTAAACCTGGTGCGAGGGCGTGGCACATGACCAGCGACTATGTCCAGATCCCCTGTGTGGTAATGACCCGCTCTCAGAACAAAATGCCTCCCCAACCTGGAGGGCTATGACGTGGTAGATCCCACACGAGAATGTTAGTTCACATGGTTGAAGGCATGGCACATAAACTCAACACTTACGCTTACGACTCTCTTTCTACACCATCGAGCGCCTCGCGTCCCAACGTCTACCCCGACTCCGCCCGCAAAATCCGCCGACCCTACCGGCGTGTGCGAGAGGCTGTTTCGTTTGACTCGTCGTCGTCGTCGTGGTAGTCATTATCGCCGTCGTCGTCGTCGTCGCCGCCGTCCTCGTCGCCGTCGCTGCTACCCCCTCTTCCCTGGGCCCTCCTCCTTAAGGCGCCAGCCAAAGCAAAACAGCCAAAGCGAAATTGAACAACGTCGTAGTTGAGTCGAAAGTCAGCCCCTTCCATTTGATCCCTTCCCCGCAAAGAGGGGGGGGTCCTGGAGAGGGGTAGCGGGGGGGGTCTGGGGGGTGGTCCCGAATCAGAATGCTACCCCCCCGGCAGGTCCCAGGGCCCAAGAGGCCCCCCAGACTCCCGACGAGGCCACCAGGCGCCCCAAAGGAACCGCCAGGAAGCCCCAGGAGGCTCTCAAAAGGCTCCCAAGACACCCCACAAATTTCCCCACTGAGGCCTCCGAGAGCGCTTCAAAGAGACGTCAAGAAGCATCCGGGCCCTCCACCCTAAAGCGCGTCAGCCAAAACAAAACAGCCAAAGCGAAATTGAGCAAAGTCGCAGGTAAGTCGAAGAGAAGCCCCCTCCCTAGAATCCCTTTCCCGCTGGGAGGGAGGGTCCCTGAAGGGGTAGAGCTGCGGGAGTCCCGGGAGGGGTCGAGGGTCAGAATACCACCACCACCGGGAGGTCGCTGGGCCCGAGAGGCCCCCCAGAGGCCCCCACGACTCCCCCAGGCGCCCCCAAGGAACAGCCAGGAAACCCCAGGAGGCTCCCAAAACGCTCCCTTGACACTCCTCTTGGCCACTTTTGGGAGCGTCTGATCCCGACCTTCGTGAATGCCTCTTCCATCGTGGGGGTAATCTTCCAAGGTTGGCGGCACCGGCCGCAGGGCCTTAGCAATCCTTGTCAAAGAATGTCATGCGGGCCGCCGCCTCTGGCCCAGGCATTTCCCATTACCGTGTCATACGCGAAACCCGATCCAATGTCTACTTCTCCCTGTAAGTCATGCTATACTGTGCACGCGCGCTGGTCTAACAGAGGAGACGCGAGGTACTCCATGTGAAACATTATTGTGAGAGGGGGCACGTGCGTTCACGTCTACGAGGGCGCGCCGCTGGATGACCCCAATGGGGGGGGGGTTGGGACCCCCCCCCTTTCCCCGATCCGTCGTCGGGGACCCCTCCCCCCTCCCCCCCTTTCCCGATCCGTCGTCGGGGAAACCTCCCCTCCACCCCTTTCCTGGTCCGTCGTCGGGGACCCCCCCCCCTCCCCCCTTTCAAAAGGGGGGTTCCGACCCCGCCCCCCCCTCCCCCCCTTTTGGCCGCCAAATTCGAACCCCCCCCTCCCCCTATTTCGCCACGGCGCCCCCGGTCTCCGGAACCCGACCCCTACCACCCCGAACACTAATCCTCACCCGTGCCCTAACCCCCAACCCCAACCCCAAACCCTAGCTCCAAACAGCAGTACTCACTACTCACACGCACTACTCAGTACCCACAATTCACTATTCGCTACTCGCTACTCACTTCTCACTACTCACTACTCACGACTCATTACTCACTACCCACGACTCACTAACCTCGACGCCCTACTCACTACTCCCTACTCCCTGCCCATTACTCACTAGCCACTACAAACTACTCACTACTCACTACCCACTACCCACTACTCATTACTAACTAAAAACAAGTCACTACCCACAACTCGTTCTTCACATATCACTACTCACTACCCACTAACTACTATGCGCTACTCACTACTCACACTTCACTACTCACTATTCACTGCCCACAACTCACTACTCACTATCTACTACTCGATACTCGCTACTCCCTACTCCCTATATCGTACTCACTACTCACTATTCGCTACTCCCTACGCCGCACTCGCTACCCATTACGCACCATTCACTACCCACTACTCACTACTCACTACGCTCCCACTACTCCCGGCTCACTATTTCCTACTGCCTACTCACAACTCCCAACTCACTACTCATTACTCACTACCCAGTACTCAATACTCACTACTCACTAAACACTAGTCACTGCCCACTACTCACAACTCACGAAGCAATACTCACTACCCACTAGCCACCGTCCACTACTTACGACTGAGAACTCACAATTCACTACTCACTACGCATTGCCCAGAACTCACTACTCACACTCCGCTAACCGCGACCTAATAAGACATATTCACTATCCACTACGCACTACTCGCTACTCACTACTCACTACTCCCTAACCCCTACTCACTAGTCACTAGTCGCAAGTCGCTACTCACTACACACTACTCACCACTCACGACTCACTACTCACTAATTTCTACTCGCTACTCCCTGCTCACTACCGACGGCTCAATACCCACTTCTCGCTGCTCACTACTCACTACTCACTACTCCCTACTCCCTACTCATGACTCAAAACTCACTACTCACTACTCATTACTCACTACTCGCTACTCCCCACTCGCTACGCCACACACTCCTCACTCCTCACTACTCACTACCCACAATTCCTTACTCACTACTTCCTTCCCGCTACTCAGTACCCACTACGCACTACTCACTACTCACAAGTCTCTACGCGCTACTCACTATTACCACTACTCATTACCCACTACTCACTACTCACCACTCACGACTCACTGCGCACTACTCACTATCAAATACCCACTATTCACCAATCGTTACTCAAAACACTCTACTCTCTTCTCACTACCCGAGAGGCCCCCTCCCCAGCTCTCTGTTCGGCGCAAAGGGGGGAGGGGGGGGGGTTCGACCCCCCCCCTTTCCAGCGCGAAGGGGGGGAGGGGGGGGGGGTCCGGACCGCATGTGGGCCGAATCCCAACCAACTGGGCCCAATCCCACCCAACTGGGACCAATCCCAACCAGTGCGACAAGCAAACTGGGCCCAATCCCAAGCCGCTTGGGATAGCCTCACAATAAGACTGTAAGTGTAGAAAAGCCCAAGACGACTGTGAAGACCAAGTGACACCTCTTATGTCAACGCAGAGGTTCTGGAAGCCAACATACGTGCTAGAGTTGGAATTGGTCTCAGTTTTGGTCCGCGCACGAGCGCTATGTTAAGATGAGCAAGAGGGCGCCGAAGCGTAAGCAAAACCGCACCGAATGGCATCGATTCTAAAATATGCAAAATGATCCTCCGATTATGAGCAGTAGTCGTAATAGTAGTGGTAGTAGTAGTAGTAGTCGTCGTCGTCGTCGTAGTCGTAGTCGTAGTCGTAGTCGTAGTCGTAGTCGTAGTCGTAGTCGTAGTAGTCGTAGTCGTAGTCGTAGTCGTAGTAGTAGTAGTAGTAGTAGTAGTAGTAGTAGTAGTAGTAATAGTAGTAGTAGTAGTTGTAGTAGTCAGCAGTAGTAGTAGTAGTACTAGTAGTACTAGTGGTAGTACTCGTAGTAGTAGTAGTAGTAGTAGTAGTAGGAGGAGGAGGAGGAGGAGGAGGAGGAGTAGTAGTAGTAGTAGTAATAGTAGTAGTAGTAGTAGTAGAAAAAGTAGAAGTAGAACTAGTAGTAGGAGTCGTCGAAATCGTTGTCGTTGTCGTAGTCGTAGTCGTAGTAGTAATGGGGTAGCGGTAGTAGTAGTAGTAGTAGTAGTAGTAGTAGTAGTAGTAGTTAGTAGTCGTAGTAGTAGTAGTCGTAGTAGTAGTAGTGTAAGGCGTAGTAGCAGTAGTAGTAGTAGTAGTAGTAGTAGTAGTGGTAGTAGTGAGTAGAGTAGTAGTAGTAGTAAGTAGTAGTAGTAGTAGTAGTAGTAGTAGTAGTAGTAGTAATAGTAGTAGTAGTAGTGTAGTAGTAGTTAGTAGTAGTAGTAGTCGTAGTAGTATCCGTCGTATAGTAGTAGTAGTAGTAGTAGTAGTAGTAGTAGTAGTAGTAGTAGTAGTAGTAGTAGTAGTAGTAGTGATAGTAGTAGTAGTAGTAGTAGTAGTAGTAGTAGTAGTAGTAGTAGTAGTAGTAGTAGTAGTAGTAGTAGTAGTAATTATAATAGCAGCAGCAGTAGTAGTAGTAGCAGTAGTAGTAGTAGTAGTAGTAGTAGGTGGTGGTGGTGGTGGTGGTAGTAGTAGTAGTAGGTGGTGGTAGTAGTAGCAGTAGCAACCGTAGTTGTAGTCGTAGTCGTAGTCGTGGTCGTGGTCGTAGTCGCAGTAGTAGTGGTAGTAATGGCATGCAAAAATGCAATCCGCGAGCGGGCGGGCCCCTCGGCATGTGAGCAGGCCTGTAGGCCAACCAACAAACCAACCAACCAGCAAGGCAGGCAACCAACCAGCCAACCAGCCAGCGAGCAAACCAAGCAGCCAACCAGCCAAAGAACCAGCCAGCCAGCCAACCAGGCCACCAACCAACTGCAAACCAGCCACGAGGGGGCGGAGCGTGCCGAGAGGCATCTCTGAATAAAGCTGGCGGTGGCGGCACGCAAAGATGCAATCCGAGAGCGGTTTTTTTTTCGCCACGGCGGCGAGCGGTTGTCCCCGCGGGCAGCTGAGGAATTCCGAAGAATCCGAGGGAACCCTGAGGAATTCCGAAGAATCCGAAGGAATCCTAAGGAAATCCGAAGAATCCGAATGAATCCTGAGGAATTCCGAAGAACCCGAAGGAATCCTGAGGAATTCCGAAGATCCCATCCATGGTTGTAATTGGTCTCACTTCTGGTTGGAATTGGTCCCATTTCTGGTTGCAATTCGCTCCGAACGGTTGGAATTGGGACTAGTCGGTTGTAATTCGTTCCATTTCGGGTCCGGACCCCCCGCCTTCAAGGGAGGGGGGGGGGTTCGGACCCCCCCCCCTTAATGGGTGGATGGGGGGGGGGTCCAAAATCTCACCCCCCCCCTTTGAAGGGGGAGGGGGGGGATTCTGCGAGCACCCCCCCCCTTTGTGTGTTCGTCATTCGTCGCCCCAATCACCATCACCCTCCTCGTCCTCATCATCGCCAGGATCATCACCATTAGGTCGCCATCGCGAGAAGCAACATCGCCATCATCGTCACCTATACGGACATGGTGGGCGGATATTGCTTAGAACGCTTCCTTTTCCAGCCCGTTTTCCCCTTCGGGGAGGGTATCTTCACTGCTCCGTGTTCGTAGTCACCTCCTCCCCCAAGCAAAAAACCATGGGCCCACCACCCACCATCCCTGTCAAAAACAATACAAAACGCACGCGTCGGCAAAACCTGGATCCTGGATCATGAGCGGCCGTTCCGTGTCCACTTGGCATGGGCTATTGACAGGGATGGCGGGGGTGATCACATTTGTTCGCTGCGCCTTGCCCCACTATCCCTGTCAAAGACAAATCCAAACTCATTGACACACCATACGCCGTGCAGAGCGCCCCTCCTCCACTTTGCATTGGTTTGACAGGGATGGTTGGGGGGTCGAAACCTCCTGTGTCCACCTAGGTGCCCGAGGTCACACGAGAACCCACCCCCACGAGGCACTCGCGAAAGGGCCCAAACCTTTCCACCCGACCACTGCCAGGAGGAGGCGCTGACAAGGAAAGGCACGCCCACTGTGCAGGTTTGGAAGTGCCCGTGAGACAACTCTTGGGTACACTCGCCAATTTCCAAGGGTTTGTCACAGGCGGGGAGCCGCCCTCTCCTTTCACGGTCTCTGGTATGACGCAGGAACAGCATGTCGACCCCCTGCAACCTTTCCACCCGACCAGTGCAGGGAGGAGACTCTGAGGCAGGGGCGTAGAAGAAGGCGAGGCCGATGCTGTTCGTGAGCACGAACCACATCGTGCTGAGGCCAGACACCTCGGGGGCGTTTCCGCAGATTCTGGCTTCGGCGACCACTGCTCTGGGCACGGCGACCCCCTCCTCCTTCTCCTGTTGCTGCTGGCGCATCCATCGGCCTCCTCCTCCTCCTCCTCCTCCTCCTCCTCCTCATCTTTCGCCTCCGCATCCTCATCGTCATCATCCTCATAGGCCCCCTCCTCATCCTCCTCCGCCTCCGCCTCCTCCTGCTCCTCGTCCTCCTCCTCCTTATCGGCCCCCTCCTCCTGCTCATCATCATTATGAAGGGGCTGAACCGAACGGTCATTCACTGTCCCTGGGTGCGTGGCTGAAGTGGGATTCCGCGATGCGGATTATTGTTGTTGTTGTTGTTCTTGTTGTTGTTGGTGTTGTTGTTGTTGTTGTTGTTGTTAGTGTTGTTGTTGTTGTTGGTGGTGGTGTTGTTGTTGTTGTTGTTGGTGTTGTTGTTGTTGTTCTTGTTGTAATTGTTGTTGTTGTTGTTGTTGTTGTTGTTGTTGTTGTTGTTGTTGTTGTGTTGTTCGTTGTTTGTTGTTTGTTCTTTGTTGTCGTCGTCCCACCCGCGACCCACCCGCGACCCACCCGCGACCCACCCCGCGACCCACCCGCGACCCACCCGCGACCCACCCGCGACCCACCCGCGACCCACCCCGCGACCCACCCGCGACCCACCCGCGACCCACCCGCGACCCACCCCGCGACCCGCCCGCGACCCACCCGACCCACGACCCACCCGCGACCCACCCGACCCACCCGACGACCCACCCGCGACCCACCCCGCGACCCACCCGCGACCCACCCGCGACCCACCCCGCGACCCACCTAAAATTTTCGGCGCCTGCGGCGGGCTTCTTTTGCATTCGTTCCAAGTGGAGAACCTGCGACCCACCCGCGACCCAAATCACGTTCAGTGTACAACTCAAAATGTTCGGCGCCTGCGGCGGGCTGCTTCTGAATTCCTTCCAGGTGGAGGTGGAGAGCCCGCAACCCACCCGCGACCCAAATTACGTTCACTGAACAAGTCAAAACTTCGGCGCCTGCGGCGGGTTTCTTTTGCATTCGTTCCAGGTGGTGAACATGCGACCCAAACCGCGTTCAGTGTACAAATCCAAATGTTCGGCGCCTGCGGCGGGCTGTTTTTGAATTCCTTCCAGGTGGAGGTGGAGAGCCCGCGACCCACCCGCGACCCAAACTACGTTCACTGAACTTTCACTGAACGAGCCTAACAACGTTCACTGAACGGCTCGACGCCCGCGTCGCCCGCGCCCGCCCCCTCACGCTTATCCGCAATTGCGGGGTGCTACGTATGATTATCCCCTTCCCCCTCTTCCTCCACTTCCTCCTCTTCCTCCTCTTCTTCCTCCTCCTCCTCTTCCTCCTCCTCCTCCTCCTCGTCCTCCCCTTTCCTCCTCCTCGGCCTCCTCCTCCTCCTCCTCCTCCTCCTCCTCCGCCTCCTCCTCCTCGCACCGGGCGCACGCATGCGCGACCTGTTCTGCCCTTGCAGAGAAAGAAAGAGGAGTGCGGACGTTGATGCATGCGTTCGCTTTGCTTGGGATAGCATGCGAATCGAAAAAAACACCATGTTTCGTCGCATGGAAAGGCATTTGCGCCCGCCGGTTGGAACAAAGATTTGGAAGCCATGGGCCGCGCAACCGGATGGGTGACTCATTCCGCGGAACATCGCCGTGATCATCTCTTGTGTTTAAAAGTTCGGTGGGGCAAATCGGGGCGCGGAGCTGTGTCGAAGTAGCGCTCGACCCACGAAACGCAATGTTTTCTAGCGTTGGCAACGAAGACGGGCTAATCACGAAATGTCCCCTGGAACGGCTTGCCTCCCAGAGGCCTCCAAAAGGGGCCGAACGGTGCCACACCAGCGCGTCATGAAATCCATCATCTAGACAAAAGTCCTGCGATGATACGCGACCCAATGCACATGCGGAGGGCCAACCTTCCATGGACCAGTGCTGGATTAGGACGCCATGGCGCACGTCCTTGGCGCACCATGCGCACCAGCGTGTTATGATATCGGTGGGCCACATCAGCGCGTCAGGACAACCATCATCACGAGGATAATCCTGCGACAACACATTCGTGGGTGCACATGCGGACGGCCAGTGTCCCATGTGTACCCATCGCTCTGCCACACCAGCGCGTCATTGCATTCATGATCATGATAATGCCCCTGGTACGACGACACACGCATAACGTGCAATCGTTGAGTCTGGGGCGCACAAGTCGCCAACGTGCGTTGATACCTCTCGCTTTGGGCAGAGGCCAAAGGGGTCGCGCGCTTGGTGGGGGAAGACGGCGCTTGCAGTTCAGGCGAAGTGCAGCTCGAACCACGAAACGCAATGTTTTGTCGGTGCGGCACCGAAAAAGAGATGTCCACGAATGTTCATGTCAAACGGGCTCGTAAAGGAGCCGAACGGTCTTACACAATCCTTGGAACGGGTGCTAAATGAAGACCCCATGGCGTATACGATCGGCAGCCCAGTGTGTCATGACAAGGCATCATGGCACCCATCATCATGACGATGGCCCTGCGATTGTACACGAACGAATACACATGCGGAAAGCAAGCCTGCCATGACACAGACGTGCCACACCAACGTGTCACGACACTCATCATTATGATGATAGGGGTGATGATGATGATGATGATGGTCCTGCGACGAAACATGACTGGAGTCACGTGCGGAAGGCCAGCATTCCGTATGATATGTAAGATCGCCCTGCCACACTGCCACACCAGCGTGTCAGGACGTTCATCATCAAGACGACGTCTTGCTTCGACGACACACGCAAAACATACAATGGAAACGTGTGGGGCGCATAAGTCGGCAGCGTCCGTTGCAAAAAGCCATGCGGGTCGCGCATGCGTGTGCCCAGAGTCCCCTTCCTCCTGAAGCAGGCCAAGTGCAAGACTGGGCGGCTTGGCCGTTGTTAACAAGCCCACAATGGTGGCTTCGTGGCATGTCCAAAGGATTATGATTGTGAGGCTTTCGCGTAGAAATCCTTTGTGGCGCTTTCCAAAGGATTCCTGCTGTGACGCTTGCCAATCGAATCCCTTTTGCGGTGCTTTCCAGAGGATTCCTGCTGTGAGGCTTTCCAATAGAATCGTTTTGTGGCGCTTGCAAAAGGATTCCTGATGTGAGGCTTTCCAATGGAATCCATTTGTGGTGCGTTCAAGAGGACCCCTGCCGTGAGGCTTCCCAATCATCCTTTTGTTGCGCTTTCCAAATGATTCCTTCTGTGAGGCTTTCCAATACAATCCCCTCGTGGTGCTTTCCACCGGATTCCTGCTGTGAGGCTTTCCAATATAATCCCTTTGTGGCGGTTTCCACAAGATTCCGATTGTGATGCTTCCCCATGGAATCCGTTTGTGGCGCTTTCCAGAGGATTCTTGCTGTGAGGCGTGCCAGTACAATCCCCTCGTTATGCTTTCCACCGGATTCCTGCTGTGAGGCCTTCCAATACAATTCCTGTGTGACTTCGTGGTGCTTCCCGGAGGATTCCTGCTGTGAGTCTTTCCAATAAAATCCCTTTGTGGCGCTTTCCAGAGGATTCCTGCTGTGAGGCTTTCCAATCGAATCCCTTTGTGGCGCTTTCCAAAAGATTCCGATTGTGAGGTTTTCCGATGGAATCCCTTTGTGGCGCTTTCCAAAGGATTATGATTGTGATGCTTTCCAATAGAATCCCTTTGTGGTGCTTCCCAAAGGATTATGATTGTGAGGCTCTCCAATGGAATCCGTTTGTGGCGCTTTCCACAGGATTCCTGTTGTGAGGCTTTCCAATAGAATCCCTTTGTGGTGGTTCCCAAAACGATTCCGACTCTGATGCTTTCCAATGGAATCATTGTGTGGCGCTTTCCAAAGGATTCCGACCGTGATGCTTAACAGTAGGATTTCCAAAACAATCCCTTTGTGGCGCTTTCCAGAAGGATTCCGACTGTGAGGCTTTCCAGTAGACTCTCTTTGTTGCGTTTTCCAAAGGATTCCGATTGTGAGGCTTTCCAACAGAATCCCTTTGTGGCGCTTTCCATAGGATTCCGAGTGTGAGGCTTTCCAATAGAATCCCTCTGTGGCGCTTTCCAGAGGATTCCTGTTGTGAGGCTTTCCAAAAAAAATCTTGGTGGCGCTTTCCAAGGGATTCCTGTTGTGAGGCTCCCTCGTTGTGTTTTCCACAAAATTCCGATTGTGATGCTTTCCAATGGAATCTGCTTGTGGCGCTTTCCAAAGGATTCCGATTGTGATGTTTTCCAATGAAATCTGTTTGTGGCGCTTTCCAAAGGATTCCTGTTGTGGGGCTTTCCAATAGACTCCCTTCGTTGTGCTGTCCAGAGGATTCCGATTGTGATGCTTTCCAATGGATTCCCTGTGTGGCGTTTCCCGAAGGAATTCGATTGTGAGGCTTTCCAGAAAACAAACACACAAAAAAACAAAAAACAACAAACAAACAAACAAAAACTGTCAGATAGAATTCCGTGGTCGACCGCCAGATTATATTCGAAAATGTTATTTATTTTTTTGTTGTGTGGAGGTCTTTATGTTTTTTGTTCTCTGATCCGTGTTCGTTTCGTTCGGCCTCCACAGAAGGATGCCGATTGAAAACGCGCAAACCGCCCAGGCCTGCATCAGGTCTGGCGCCCCTCCTCCTCCTCCTCCTCCTCCTCCTCCCCTCTCATTTTCCCCCACCCTCCTCCCCTCTGTCCTGTTCCTTCCCCTCCTCCGCCTCCGCGCCACGCCTGGGCTGGCAGGCACCCGAGCCCGTCGCGCCCCCGTAGCCGCCCGCCTCGACGGAGGGAACGAAAGGAGCCCTCCTGGGGCCCTCTCGGACCCTTCTGGTAGCCCTCGTCGAGCTCTCCCGGGGCCCTCGCAAGGCCCTCGGTGGTCGTCAGGACCCCCAAAGGCTGGAAGAGGCATTGGGCCCCAAGAAGGCCCTTTTTCGTGGCAGGTGGGAGGCCCAGAAGAGGCACTCGGCTGCTGCAAAGCACCAAGCACACGAA